ACACTGGTTTTAACCAAAAAATGATAGGATTAAAGGTGTGTCCCACACAGCCTAGCTTTTCTTTGAAATGTAAATCACACTTTACCAAAATGACTTCCCACTCTTTTACTTTAATCCCTCCAGACTTTCCCTCAGATGTTGCATGGCCCTGAGCTACAAAGCATGCAAGGAGAGAAGTCACCCGAAGTTATAACATCCACAAGACATCAGGAAATTGTTCTCTGGATTTCTTTCCCTCTTTCCTTCCCTTCCTACCTTCCTTGCTTCCTTCCTCTTCTCTTTCCTTCCTCTCATGTTTCTTTTTGTACCCATTCTAGAACTTTGACTCTGAGCCTGGGTGTTGTTCCTTATCTTTTCTTTGTCAAATGTAGTGCTTTACCACTTGAATCATAATAGTACTTCTCCCTTTTCTAAGCAGTTGATTGGAAACAATAGTCTTCTGGCAGAGAAATCCCTGTTTAACAGAGAACCATAGTATAAAAAGACAAGTCATGGCCCCCCAAAACATGGATAAATGGCAGAAATTACCAAACACTTCTCAATCCTAACTATTCATATTCATGGACTTTATCAATTAAATGACATAAATTGACTAGGTGGATCAGACAGCAAGACCCATTTATCTTCTGTTATCAACAGGCACACATTGCCCAAAGAATCAAACAGATTCTGAATGTGAAAGTCTGGAATAAAAATCTATCAAGCAAAGAGCCCCATAAACAGGCCAGAACTTCAAAACCAATGGCAGATAAAACAGACCTCAAATTAAGGAGATCTTTCCTACAGGAGGACATAACAATTCTAAATATCTATGCACCAAATGCCAGAGCATCCATTTTCATCAAACAGATACTACCTCCCCTAAAACACAGGACTGTCCAACAACAAAACAACCAAAAAAAAAAAAACACACAAACAAACAAGATTGAAGCTGGGCACCGGTGGCTCACACCTGTCATTCTAACTACTCAGGAGGCTGAGATCTGAGGATTGTGGTTCAAAGCCACCTGGGCAGGAAAGTCTGTGAGACTCTGATCTCCAGTAAACCACTCAGAAAACCAGAAGTGTCGCAGTGGCTCAATGCTAGTGGTAGAATGCTAGCCTTGAGCTGAAGAGCTGAGGGACAGCGCCCAGACCCAGAGTTCAAGACCCATGACGCACACACACAAAAAAAGGGGGGAAAAGATTGTATTCCAGTTCTTTCCAACTTGAATTGACTCCAAATTCCTGATGATGTGTGAGCAGGACACATGTACCCCAAAAGTAGTCAGAAACTCCTAGGGCTCCAGAGCTATGATTGAACTGAAAAGTTCGGGACAAGACACCCTGTCTCTTCCAACCACACTGAATGTTTCGGTTTAGGTCCCTTAGAGAATGCTCTTGTGTGATAGCTTTCATTTCTGATTCTGAGAAGAGAGTCCAGGAGAGAGGTCCCCTCCTACACAGGCAGAGCAGAAAGGGCAGAAAGACCTCCTCTGTGACCAGCCAGGAACATCAGACCCCATGCTATAGAACTGGCACTTATTCTGGCAATGACAGAAATTGGTACAGATCTGGGCCTTCTGGGTTGTCCCACTGTCTCACCATGCCTGTGCCAAGCCAGCCTGAACCAGAGCTAAACTGTCAGGATCCATATTCCTCTCCAGAGAGGCAGTATAGGCCCAGCCTGGCTGTATGGCTGTATGGCTGCAGGGTGGCCATGGAGATGGGGTTTCCATAGAAACTGAAGAAGCTGAGTGGGAAGCACTGGCCCAGAGTGGGCGGGATGACAGAGAGCCTGTCATCAGTGATATAACAGTGCTCCAGAGCTAGGGTTTCCAGGGAGCCAGCTACTTGCTCCAGCAGGGCTCACAGGGGTTCAGGACTGAAGAAGTCCATGGGAAATTCCCTCAGATACAGGTGCTAGAGTTGGCTTGTGCAGGGACACTGAGACAGAGATGAAAGGTCAGCTTCCTCCAGTGGACATGAACTCAGAGGCATGAACTCAAGCCTCAGGTTACTGAGGATGGCTGGCAGATTTCAATCAAAGATGACATCATACACATGAAACCCCTGGAGATGCTGCAGCTGCCACAGTACATGGCCTGAATTTGTACTAATATCACTAATTCATGGGACTGGAAGTGTAGAAGTTGTCACCAATCTTAAAGAAGTTTAGAAGGTGAAGATTCCTCATCTGGCCAAGGTAAGAAGCAAATTTTTCATGGTTCCTGGATGCCAGAATTCAGTCACCACTAGTTCCTGGATGAAGTAAGCCTGACCACAAGCAGAGCCTTCTGGATTTCAGAGTTGGAGTCATACTATCTGCAGCTTCCTTAAGCACAGCTGAACTTGTTCTTGCCTCTCCCTGGCCCACTGGAGCAGGTAGGCTTGGATATCACCTTGGGCACCATCTTTGATGGTCAGGTCCAGGGTGATCACCAAGATGTGCCCTTCAGTCATCACTGTACAGCGACTAGCTATTGAGTTGTCAGTCCCTTAGCTTTCTTTCTCCCAATGCTAGTGATTTAAGATATGCGCAACAATTCCACTTTTAGGTTTTTGGTACTTCAGTGGAGATAAAGTTTCACAGACTTTTCTGCATGAATGGTGAAACTATAATCCCTCCATTCATCAACTTCACAGTAAAAAAATTAAAAGAGTCTCACAGAATTTCCTGCCAGCCTGGTTGTGAACTGCCATCCTATGGTCTCAGCCTGTTGAGTAGTAGAGTGGAAAGCAGGAGTTACAGAATCCCAGTGTGAACCTTTGTGTGTGTGTGTGTGTGTGTGTGTGTGTGTGTGTGTGTGTGTGTGTGTGTCTGTGGGTGGGCAGAAGGTGAATATTAGTTATAGAAGAGAAAATGAAGTGTGACTTGTATTCTAAGGGTGTCTTTGATCAAATCTGAACTGGCTTTGTGCTGAGATTTGTCATTCCAAATATTTTGGTGAAGCAGAAAGAGTTTTCTTGCTTTCGTGGGATGTATTTGGCATTTGGTTTTGAATTTTTTTCCGAACTTTTTCTCCAAAACTTCATCTATGTATGTTTGATGTTGGTCATGGGTTTTGTCCTGTTTGTTTTATTATATATTATCTAGCTGTGGTGCTTGAACTCAGGTCCTGGGAGCTGTCCATTAGCTTTCCACTCCAAGCCAGGACTCTACTATTTGAGCCACAGCTCCACTTCTGGCTTTTATGGAGGTTCACCAGAGTTGAGAGCCTCAAGGACTTTCCTGTCAAGCTGGCATTGAACTGTTATCCTCAGAGTTCAGACTTGAGGAACTAGGTAGGATTCTAGGTGAGAATAATACTCTCATACTATGGTCTTATTTCCCTTTCTTCATTTCAAAATAAATTGACTGGCACATTTATAAATTGGAGACAGTCAGGGATTGCCCTGGGATTTGGGTGTTTGCACACAGTTCTTTAGAAAAACAAGATTGTGTTCCTGTTCTTTCCAGGCTGAATTCACTCTAGATTTCTGATGGTATATGCACAGGACACATGTACCCCCAAAGCCTCATTGACACTGCCTGGCTTCTCTTTCAAATGTATAACAAACTGAATATAAAAGTTCTCCCACCCATGTACCCTAAATCTTCAATTCCTACAGATGTCCCACTGCCCTGAACCTACAAAGGACCCAAGAAGAGCAGCCAGTCCAACTTACAGCATCCAACAGCATCTATCTCTGCCTCCCTCCCTCCTATCCTCCCTCTTTCTTTCTTTCCCTCTTTCCTTCCTTCCTTCCCTCCCTCCTTCCTTTCTGCCTTCCTGCCTTCCTCCCTCCCTCCCTTCCTCCCTCTCTCCTTCCCTTCTCTCCTTTCTAGCTGCATTCTTCATATCCTTTCTTCCCTCCTCTCTTTTTTATTTTGTACTGAACTGTGACTTGAACTCGGGGTCCTGGGCCGTACCTGAAATGCTTTATATCAAGCCAGTGCTCTACCACTTGAGTCACAACACTCATTACTGAATTCAAAAAACTCACCAATTTTTGGCCCAGTTTGGGTTTGAACTGAGACCACCAGATCATAGACTTCTTGAATACCTAGGATTCTAGGAATTCTGGAATTTTCGTGAGAAGTTGGCTGGCTTCTAACTGAGATCCTCAGATATCAGACTCCTGAATAGAGTAAGAGGCATGAGACACTAGACCTTGGAGTACCTTTTTGTTCTTTTTGTTTTGGATTTCTTTGGTGTGCCTGTGTGGGCACAAAGTGAATATTTCTTATAGAAGAGCAGAGGAACTGTGGTTTGCATTTGAAGACACATTTGATAAAATATCAACCATTATAGCATTAATTACAAAAAAATGATCACCCCCAAATATGTTGGAGAAGTAGAAACTTCTCTTGGATTTCATGGATGTCATTTGGTATTGGATGTTTAATTTTCCCTCAGACCTTTTCCCCAGAAATTGGTCTATGTGTGACTGACCTTGGTCATAGGTGGGTGTGTTTGTTTGTGCCAATTCTGGCACGTAGGTGCTGTCCCTGATTTTTGTGCTCAATGTCAGCACTCTACTACTTAAGCCAGAGCTCCATTTCTGGGTTATTTGGAGGTTCTCTAGGGTTGAGAGTCTCAAGGACTTTCCTGCCCACGGTAGCTTTGAACTGTGATCCACAGATCTCAGACTTGCTGAGTAACTAGGAATCTAGCCACAAACAATACTCTCATTCTATGGTGCCGCAAAAATGATCTCTTTCTACGCATGCTTTTCCATTCTTTTTATTTGTGATTGATTGATACAGTAAATTATAGATAGTAAGAGATTGTCACATGATACGAGTTTGCTTACAACCATTAAGAAAAACAAGAGTGTATTCCAGTTCTTTCTAGGCCGTCTTGACTTCAGATTCCTTATGGTGTGTGCACAGGACACACTCAGAATCCTGGAACTGCAGAGCTATGATTTTTCCACCCACACAGAACTTTGGAAAGTGTGCCCCGTGGGAGAATGCCTTTCTGCCCCGGCTTTCATTTCTGAGGTTGAAAAAGCTTGTAGGAGAGAGCGGCACCTTACTACACAGGCAGAGCAGAAAGGCCAGGAAGATCCTCCTCTGTGACCACCCAGGTACCATCAAGAGTCAGACTATACAGTTGGCACGTGTTATGGCGATGACAGAAACTGGTACAGATCTGGACCTTCTGATTTGTTCCCACATCTCTCAATGTCCGCACCAAGGCAGCCCCAACCTCAGCAAATCTCTCAGGGTCGAAGTTCTCTAGATACCAATCTTCAGGGTGGTAGCACTCCAGAGGGGCAGGATAGAGCCCCCTTCTCAAATGACCCAGCCTGGCTGTGTGGCTCAGGAGGTTCTGTAGGATGGCCATGGAAATACAGTTTCCATAGAAACTGAAGAAGCGGAGCTGGGAGCATTGGCTCAGGGTGGGCAGGATGGCCGAGAGCTGGGCATCAGTGATGTAACACTCCTCCAAGGCCAGGGTCTCCAGGGTGCAGGCTACATGGTCCAGAAGGGCTCTCAGGAGCTCAGCACGTTTCATTGGCAAAGTCCTCAAATGCAAGTGCTTGAGCTGCCTGGTGCAGGCATACTGGGACAAAAACCTCAGGTCAGTTTCCGGCAGTGCACATGAGCTCAGAGACAACGTCTTCAGAGGCGGCAGGCTCCTGAGGATGGTGGGCATAGTTGCATTAAACAAAATGTTGTGCACATGAAGCTCTTGGAGATGCTGTAGATGCCCCAGATACTCCCCGATTATCCAGGGATATTGGGAATTTTCGTGGGAGTGAGGGATGTCAGTCCACATGCTAGAGCACTTGAGGATGAGAAGGTTCTTCATATGGCCCAGGTAAAGAGTAAATATTCTCAAGGTTCCTGGAAGCCAAAATTCACTCACCACCAGTTCTTGGATGGAGTCCAGCCTCACCACACACAGAGCCTTCTGGATTTTAGACACGGAGCCAGACAGAATCTGCAGCTTTCTTGAGCACAGCTGGACTCGTTCTTTCCTCTTCCTGGCCCACTGGAGCAGGTAGGCTTGGAGAGCATCCTGGGCGCCATCTTTGATGGTGAGATTCCTGGTGACCATCAAGGGCTGCTTTTCAGTCATCATTGAACCACAGCTCTCTGTTGGCCTGTCAGTCAGGACATCTGGATAAGAGATTTGGGCCATTGAACGGTAACCCTGTATCCAGATGTTTGGGTGATCATTCTGCAGGTCAAGTACTTGCAGTTTCCACCGACTGGGGCGCTCCTTCTTGGCAAGTAGCAGATCAATTCCATCCAGGACAGCCTTGAAGGTTTCCAGGTCTGGTGACTCTACCAGGTCCCCTAGGGGGAGGCAGGGCAAGGGCCAGGCCTGCACCATGGCTTTCAGCATCTCCGTGTAGCCCTGTTTATAGATCTCCATGAAGAGCAAAGGGAACAGCACCGCCGGCAGATCTTCCAAGGCAGAGATGGACAGGGACTGGTTGCTCAGCAGACTCTGTATGGCCAGATGTTGGAGCGAGGGTGGGGTTCTCATGCTCATCTTGATAGATCAGATGTGGACCAGGTATGAAAGGCTCTCAAAATCCCAGCAGGGCCAGGCACTCCAGGACTCTGCTTTTGTTCTTTAATCCCTGGGCATTTTTATAGCCCATCCCCACCCTCACCTTTGCATTTCTACCAATGAGAGGGCAGCTTCTGATGGGATTTCTGAGACACACCCAGTACACCTTAGTTGGGTGTTGCCCTTGAAATTATTTCAAACATTGAACCAAAAAGTGATAGGATTAAAGTCCTGGCCCACACAGGCCAGGATCTCTTTGAAATATAAAACACACTGGAGCAAAAAGAATCACCACCCTTGTACCTTCATCTTTCCAGACATTCCCACAGGCATTCTGCTGCCTTGAGACTGCAAAGAGTCCAAGCAGAGCACACAGCCCAACTTTGTAGCATCTACAAATAATTCAGGAAATTTAGTCTCTGTACTTTTTCTCTTCCTTCCTTCTTTCATTTCTTCTTTCTTCCTTCCTTCCTCCCCTGCCTTCCTTTCTCCTCTTCCTTCCTCCCTCCCTCCCTCCCTCTCTCCCTCCCTCCTTTCCTTCCTTCCTTCCTTCCTTCCTTTCTTTTTTGGTGCCGGTCCTAGAAATTTACCTATGAATCAGATCACTGTCCCTTAACTTCATAATGTCAGGGATAATATTCTACCAAAGAGCCACAACAGTATCTGACTTTTTCTGAGGGGTTTATTGGAGATAAGGATCTTGATATTAGAATAGAAATGGCTTTTTACCAGGGAACCAAATACATGTTTTGAGATATGACAAGGTGCAGGCCCTAAGAAGGTGGATAACATGGCAGGAATTACCAAATTCGTCTCACTCCTAATTATCAATATTCATGGACTTCACCTTGCCCACAAAAACAAACATATCCTGAAAGTAAAAGGCTGGGATAAAATCTTCCAAGCAAATGGTCCCCATAAATAGGCGAAGTCGCAATTCTAATATCAGATAAAATAGACTTCAAATTAAAATTAGCAAGAACAGATAAAGAAGGTCACTACATACAATTTAAGGGATCTCTCCTTCAGGAGGATTTTACAATTCTAAATACATATTCACCAAACAACAGAGCACCTCAACTTATCCAAAAAACACTACTTTCCTTCAAATCTCACATAGATTCAAAGACATTAATTGTTGGGGACCTAAACACAGCACTATCCCCCCTGGATAGATCAACCAAGCAAAAACTCAACAGAAAAACCTTGGATCTAAACATCTGCATAGATCAACTAGAATTAACAGACATTTACCTAATATTTCACCCAGAGCATCAGATTATCTTCTTCTCAGCAGCACATGGAACATTCTCCAAAATAGACCACATTCTAGGCCACAAAGCAAATCTGTCCAAATTCAGAAACATTGAAGTTATGCCCTGCATTCTCTTAGACCACAAGGGAATAAAATTATAAAACACCAAAAGCCATCAAAGAAAGTCCTGTAACACATGGAGAATGAACAAGACACTGTTGAATCATGAGTGCGTGATGGAAGAGATTAGAAAGGAAATTCAAATGTTCATGATATTCAACAAAAAGGAATACATAAATCATCAGCTCCTCTTTACTTTACTTTTTACTTTACTCTTTACTTTTTACTTTACAAAGTAAAGGCAGTACTCAGAGGCAAGTTTATAGCCCTGAATTCATACATCAACAAATTGGAGAGATCTGAAACCAACAATTTAATGAAACATCTGAACCTCCTTGAAAAAGAGCAGCAAGATAAACCCCAATCCGGTAGACAGAAAGAAATAATTAAAATTAAATCAGAATTAAATGAATTGGAATCCAAAAAAAAAACATAGCAAGAGTAAACAAAACAAAAAGTTGATTCTTTGAAAATATTAACAAAATTGACAGATCCTTAGCAAATCTTATAAAAGAGAGAGAGAGAGAGAGAGAGAGAGAACATACCCAAATAAACTCAGAGATGAGAATGGAAACATCACTACAGAAGCAACCAAGATCTAGAACATTATAAGGGAATACTTCTCAAATCTTTATGCTAAGAAGTTTGAGAATCTGGAAGCAATGGATGATTTTCTAGCAAATATCTACGTGCTGAAACTAAACCAAGATGAGTTAAACCAACTTAACAGACCCATATCAAACATCAAAATAGAAACAGCAATAAGATATCTCCCACCCAAGAAAAGCCCAGGAGGAATGGATTTACAGATGAACTGCAAGACCTTCAAAGCAGAACTTACACCAATACTCCTCCAACTCTTCAATGAAATTGAAAGTGAAAGTTCACTACCAAACTCTTTCTATGAAGCCATTGTAACCCTCATCCCCAAACCAGGCAGGAACTCATCAAAGAAAGAGCACTATAGAGTCTTTTCTTTGAAGAACATCTATGCAAAACTTCTCAACAAAATTTCGGTCAATTGACTTCAACAACTCATCAAAAAATCATACACCACGATCAAACAGGATTCATTTTAGGGATGCAAAGTTTGTTTAATATATACCAATTAATCACACCAACAAGAGCAAGGATAAGAACCACATGATTATCTCAATAGATGCTTCTGCATTTGACAAGATCCAACACCCCTTTATGATGAAGGCTCTGGAAAAACGAATCCATGGAACATTCCTCAATACAATAAAGGCTGTATATGACAAACCTACAGCCAGCATTATACTTAATGGTGAAAAGCTAAAGCCACTTCCTCTAAACTCAGGAATGAGACAAAGATGTCCACTCTCTCCGCTTTTCTTCAGTTTAGTATTAGAACGCCTAGCTACAGCAATAAGACAGGATGCATAAAGGGGATTAAAACAGGAAAAGATGAAATAAAACTTTCCTCTTTGCAAATGACATGGATCTTGTCTTTAAAGAATCCCATAACTACACTCCCAAATTACTGAAGCTGACTTGAAACTTTGGGAAAATAGCAGGATATAAAATTAACCCTCAAAAACCAATGGCTTTCTTCAGTAAATGGTGCTGGCAAATTGGTTAAGCGCCTGTAAAAAAATCTAAAGCTAGCTACTTATATATAATCTTTTTTTGGGGGGGGGGGTCTGGTCGTAGGGCCTGAACTCTTGGCCTGGGTGCTGTCCCTCAGCTCTTCAGCTCAAGGCTCGCACTCTACCACTTGAGCCACAGCGCCAATTCCGGCTTTTTTCTTTTTTGCTTATGTGGTGCTGAGGAATCGAACCCAGGGCCTCAGGCATGCAAGCGAAGCGCTCTACCACTGAGCCACCTTCCCAACCCCACTTAAATATAATCTTCCACTAGAATCAACTCCAAATGGATCAAAGACCTTGGAGTCAAAGCAGACACCCTGAAAACATTACAGAATAGGAGAAACCCTAGGTCTCCTTGGCACAGGCCAAAATTTTCTTAATAGAGACCCAGAAACACAACAAATGAAAGAACGGTTGGATAAATGGGATTGCATGAAGCTGCAGAGCTTCTGCATGGCAAAGGACATAGCTAGCAAGATCGATAGAAAGCCCACGGATTGGGAGAAGTTTTTCTCTAGCCATACAACAGATAAGGGTCTCAGATCTAAAATATACTTGGAACTCAATTAAATCCCCCAACAACAAATCCTCAAAGAAACAACTGCCCAATAAATAAGTGGGCTAAAGGCTTACAGAGAAACTTCTCTGAAGAGGAAATAAGAATGGCCAATAGACACATGAATAAATGCTCAACCTCCCTAGCCATAAAAGAAATGCAAATCAAAACAACATTAAGATACCAACTCACCCCAGTTAGAATGGCTATAATCAAGAACCCTAATAACAACAGATGCTGGAGGGGATGTGGACAGAAGGGAACCCTACTGCATTGTTGGTGGGAATGTAAACTTGTTCAACCACTTTGGAAAGCAGTATGGAGGTTCCTCAAAAGACTCTACATAGAGCTCCCCTATGACCCAGCAATCCCACTTTTGGGCATTTATCCAAAAGATCACAAGCAAGACCATATTAAAGCTACCAGTACAACTATGTTTATTGCAGCATTATTTACCATAGCTAAGATATGGAACCAACCCAGATGCCCCTCAGTAGATGAGTGGATTTTTAAAAATGTGCTATATATGTACAATGGAACTCTATGCCTCCATCAGAAAGAATGACATCACCCATTTGTTAGGAAATGGAAAGATTTAGAAAAAGTTATATTAAGTGAAGTAAGCCAGGCCAAAAGAAACATAGGTCCCATGGTTTCCCTTATTTGCAATAAGTAGTATGTGTCTGATACAAGCAGAAAAGGTCAAAAGCTATGTACATTTGACCAGATAAGATGATGTTAAGCAAAATGAAACAAGTGATTTTTTTCTTTCTATTGTTTCTAATGTATTTATAGGGTATGTGATTTTTTTGTTGCGTTGTATATCCCTCCCCCATGGTATAACCCATTTTCACTGTATTTGATGTCAGTGTAATTTGGGGAGAGGAAGGAAACAAACAAAATATTTAAATAGGGATACAGGTTGACCCATTGTATCAATGTACAAGACACTGTTTGACAACGAACTTTATAATTTAGGCGTGGTGGGGGGTAGTTGTGGAGGTGGGAGGGAAGGGAGGTAGGGAAAACACAAAGGAGGAGGCAACAATGCTTGATAAGAAATGTACTCATTACCTTACTCATGTAACTGTAACACCTCTGTACAGTATTTTCACAATAAAAACGTTTAAAAAATCAATGGCTTTTCTGTATGCCAACAATGAGAAGAGTGTGGCTGAAATCAGGAAAGCAACTACTTTTGTAATAGCCGCCCCCCCCCCCAAAATAAAATACCTAGGATTTAACTAAAGAAGTGAAGGACCTCTGTGATGAAAACTTTAAAAACCTGAAAAAGGAAATCAAAACAGAACTAAGGAAGTGGAAAAACCTCCCAGCCTCCTGGATTGGGAGGATCAAGATCGTGAAAATGGCAATACTGCCAAAGACTATATACAAAGTCAATGCAATACCTATCAATATTCCAACCTCATTCTTCAAA